CAGTGAGGTTCTGTAGGGCAGTGAGGTTCTGTAGGGCAGTGAGGTTCTGTAGGTCAGTGAGGTTCTGTAGGTCAGTGAGGTTCTGTAGGGCAGTGAGGTTCTGTAGGTCAATCAGTTTCTGTAGGTCAGTGAGGTTCTGTAGGTCAGTGAGGCTCTGTAGGGCAGTGAGGTTCTGTAGGTCAGTGAGGTTCTGTAGGTCAGTGAGGTTCTGTAGGTCAGTGAGGTTCTGTAGGTCAGTGAGGTTCTATAGGTCAGTGAGGTTCTGTAGGTCAGTGAGGTTCTGTAGGTCAGTGAGGTTCTGTAGGGCAGTGAGGTTCTGTAGGTCAGTGAGGTTCTGTAGGTCAGTGAGGTTCTGTAGGTCAGTGAGGTTCTGTAGGGCTATGCCAGCTGCTCTGCTGCACATCATGACAACCTCCAAGAGTATGTTCCTGTTTTTGTATGTTATAAGTTCAAACCAACAGATGAAGGTAAAAATTAAGAGAGTCAATAAAACGTTCTCATAAAAGTAGAATCATTAAAACCACAGAGCTTCAGATTAAATAAAATAAAATTCTCTGGTGGACCTTCTTACAGAATGAGTTCACATGGGGTCAAAAGTCATCAAGAACAGTTCCCAGATGTTTATATTGATGCACCAACAGTTTCATTGTTGACAACCACAGGAGTGGCAACTGAAGAGTTGTTTTTTTTTTAATCAATGACCAACTCCTTTGTCTTAGAAACATTTAACTTTAAAAAGAAAGACTCATACCATTCAGTGAAGTCCCCGACCACAGGCCCGAGGTCTGTGTCATCACCGCTGAGAAGGAAGGGACAGGATGACAGAGACATCTGCAAACTTTAAGACGCGACGCTGTGGGAACTGGCTGCAACAGTCGTTTGTGTGGAAAACGAATAAAAGGGGCGAAAGAATCAAATTGCTGCAGCAGCAAACAGTACAAGTGGCACAGATCTGTTATTTTTTTAACGCTCACACTCCATGGCAGCAGATGAGTTTAGACGAGCCGCTGGTCCACTGGGACACTGACGTCTGAACTTTGAAGGGCTGTAGAACAGAGATGTGAAAGGTGCAGAGGGACTTGTGTCTTCCTGACAAGCGGAGCAGAGACACCAACAGAAGAAAGTTAGTCCCTCTGACTCCGTCTGTTCAGGCAAACCCCAACTTTTCTATTATTCTCTCTTATGTAGCTTTATAACAGTATTATTTTAACCGGGAGCTCCGGTAAACATGGAGACGTGTGTCATTGTTGACATTTCTGTTCCGTTTCTTGTATATTTTTAGCAAAGTCATCTGTCGTGCCTTTGAAATATCCAACATCAAGATGACAGCATGAAATTTAATCTGAAGCATTAAACCTCAAATGAGGTTAAACTTGACACTCTTCTCTTTTAACCCACGCAGCCGTGGATATTCTAGTGGGAGAATGAAGAGCATGAGGTTTCACATCTTTGCTGCATCATCAACAAAGGATTGTTTAGCTGTTTTTAGTTGTGTGCAGAAAGGGAGATGAAGAAAAGCAATGCGCCCACCTCCAGGAGGGCTGAGATCCAGCGGCTGTACCAGAGCTACACTGCAGGCTGCACCACGCTGTCTGCACCTGCCCTCCTGATGTTCCTCCACAAGGAGCAAAAGGAGCACACCGCAGACGAAGAGACGGCACAGAGTCTGATTGACAGATACGAGATCGAAGAGGCGGGTGAGTGAAGGGGCAGCTTGTTGAACATCATTAAGGATAAAAAATGACTGAAGATTGTCAGATTTTGTTTATTATTTTTATTTTTGCATAGAGGCCCATTATTTCTTTTCACCCCACCAAAAATAAAAAAGCAGAGAGCTGTGTAAAGACAGAACATCTGTGGTGAAAACAGAATAACGAGCACCACAGAGTTTTTCCCCTTCTTGGAAATATACGTTCTAATTTATGATGCCAGCAGCACAAATAAAAGTTGGAGCATGTTTACTGCTGTTACATCATTTTTTTGTGTAATGGGTATAATTTTAGCCGCTTTCTGCGTTTTTATTTATTGAATTTTTTTTCATAATGCTTCACATTTTTCTCTAGCTTGCAGGTGTTCGACATTAGCCAGCAGTGCTGTTATAAAACACCCAGAACATAGTTTAATGTCTTACTGATTTTTTTAAAGCATTCAATAAAAATGAAAATCCTGGAGGACAAGATGTCCATAAGTTTCTAATGGATGTTTGAGTTCTCTACAGAATTATATTTTATTTACCTAATTGATCATTAAAAAATGCCCATGTTTACTAATGTGCTCTTTAGGTGCGGTCATGTTACTAACAATTATTGCTCGCCACCAAAGGCAAAAGGGTGATGTTTTTGCGTCTGTGTGCAAGTGTGCATGCATTAATACATGTGCATGTCATTAGATCTACAGCTAACTTATTAACATTAGGAATCAGCTCAACTCAAGATGGCTGCCACAACCAAATGAGCACTGGAAAGACAAAAATTGCTACGACAGTCAGCTTTTGTCAAGGGGTTCATTTTCAAAGTTCCAGTAGGTTTTATTGTAGTTTGCATCACATGTGGTGCATGAGGTGGAAAGAAAGTGTGCACAGGGTCCCAGTTACACCCAAGCATAGCATAAATATAAATTCTAAAAAGAAACGGTAAATAAGGATCTAAGATATAATCTAAACAATAATAGTGCAAAACAATACGCTGAACAGCAGCACGAACATGAATCTGTGTGAGTGGGGATACATGAGTCTTAACAGCTTCAGGGTAGAAGCTGTTCCTCAGTCTAGTGGTTCTACACTTAATGCTCCTCAACTGACCAATGAAATTACCTAACAAGTCACAGTGAACCAATGAAACAGGGAGGGAGGCCAATACCCCCCCCCACCCCAGTTGTTCCCCTAGGGAGGGGGGAAACTTTCTCCTTTTCTGGAGGCAAAACAAAGTATTTGCAGCCTCAACCACTTGAAATAAGTGTGAATCGTGCATTTAAAATAACACTGAGCTCTCTGGGATGCAGGCAGCTCTGTGATGGACAGCACATTCTTGTGCAGGAGGAAGGTGAAGATAGCCTTCAATGACTTCCTGGTAGGCGACTTCTTTTAACCAGTCGTGCTACTGGCACTGTTCAGAAAAAAAAAATTACGATACGCATCGTGTATGTTACTTTTATGTATTTAATTTAAAATCTTTCTGTGTAAATATATCATGTGACAACGTGAACACCTGCAGCTTATAGACAAGCGCGGCCTATATATGTACAAAATTACTATTTTTAAATTTAGTGGGTGCGGCTTATATTCAGGTGCGCTCAATAGTATGGAAATTACGGTAAATAGATGAAATAGCAGAAAAAGCTGAAAATTGCAGAAATAAACTGAAAGGAGCAGAACAAGCTGAAATTAGCAGAAAGAAGTTAGAAGAAGCACAATAATGTTTCTAGTTAGAAAGAATCTGAAAGGAGCACAAAAACGGCTGGAAAAACAGCTGAAATTAGTTAAAAGTAGCTGAAAAAACAAACAAACTAATTAAATTTCTACATGGAAGCTGAACCAGAACAAAATGTGAAAGGAGCAGTAAAAGGTTGTAAACAGATTTAAAGATTTGAAGGATGTAAAATGAGCTATGTTAATTTTCTATAAGGGTAAAAAAAAGAGGCAAAAAAGGCTAAATATTTCAAAAAGGGAAGTTGCACCAATACCAAAAGTCTTTTTTTTTCTCTCTGTCCTCCGGTGGAACCAGACGCATCTCCCAGTCCCCCCCCACCCGCTTCCCTGCTGCACCCTTTTGTCCTATGAACCCTTAAAAAGCCTCTTTTTTTCTGCATACCTCTTAATTCGAAGGATCAGCTGATCTCTCAACAAAATTGATCAACTTCTCCTGACAGGAGTCAGGGCATAAGGAGGACCCTCTTACCTCGACGGAAACAAATTGGATTCCTGATGACAACTGGTTATTTTGCTGTTTGGCTGGTGAATTCTGGATTGTCTATAAGTTCGTGTGGATGTGTCGAATCTCGACAGCGCTCAGACTGAATTTATGGAGCTGCAGCAGGGAGCTGGAGCAGCTGTTATCAGGACTGCGGACTCTATAGCAGTACACATGAAGGGGAAATAATCTTGGAGAAGCTGTGAGCTCAACTTTGGCGTTAAGGATCAATTCGGCTATTTTGGAGTTCCATCAGAGGAATATATACCAGCGAGACTTTAAAAAGGCAGAAACAACAATTCATGAGTTCTGCCTGACCCAAACTGTGGCCTTGACACCGGACTTATTTCAACTCCTCCTGGAATGTTTTGAAAACTACAAAGATGCTTTGTCTGTCTCCTCACTACTCCCTTCCCCAAGGCCGTGGACATGTGACAGAAGCTCAACTGAGCTGATGGTGAATGTCACCTCTTATCTGGACAATGGCTGAGAGGGGGGGGGGGGGGGCTCTGGACTATACTATGACTTTCCCTTAAAAATTAAATGTCTTCACTGGCCTATATGTACATGTATAACATCTGTTTATGTTGCTTTGCTGTGGTAGGCCCCTCCCTGGGCTGCCACCTTACCATGGTGGAGGTTTTTGAGTGTCCCAATGTTCCTAGGAGCTATGCTGTCAGGGGCTTCACGCCCCTAGTAGGGTCACTCAAGGCAGACAGGTCCTAGGTGAGGGACCAGACAAAGTGCAGACCAAAGACCCCTATGAAGAGTAAAATAAATGGACTTGATGTTCCCTCGCCTGGACGTGGGTCACCGGGGCCCCACTCTGGAGCCAGGCATGGAGGTGGGGCCCACGGGTGAGCGCCTGGTGGCCGGGCTTTTACCCATGGAGCTCAGCTGGGCACAGCCCGAAAAGGAGACGTGGGTCCCCCTTCTCATGGGCTCACCACCTGTGGGAGGGGCCAAAGGGGTCGGGTGCAATGTGGGATGGGTGGTGGCCGAGGGCGAGGACCCTGGCAGTCTGATCCTCGGCTACAGAAGCTGGCTATTGGGATGTGGAATGTTGCCTCACTGGTGGGGAAGGAGCCTGAGCTGGTGTGTGAGGTTGAGAGGTTCCGGCTAGAAATAGTCGGACTCACCTCTACGCATGGCTCTGGCTCTGGAACCAGTTTCCTTGAGAGGGGCTGGACACTCTTCCACTCTGGAGTTGCCCCTGGTGAGAGGTGCCGAGCAGGAGTGGGCATACTTATTGCCCCCCAACTTGGTGCCTGTGTGTTGGGGTTCACCCCAGTGAATGTGAGGGTGGCCTCCCTCCGCCTATGTGTTGGGGGACGTGTTCTGACTGTCGTTTTTGCTTATGCACCAAACGGCAGTTCAGATTATCCATCCTTTTTGGAGTCCTTGGAGGGGGTACTGGAAAGTGCACCTCCTGGGGACTCCCTTGTTCTGCTGGGGGACTTCAATGCTCACACGGGCAATGACAGTGAGACCTGGAGGGGTGTGGTTGGGAGGAACGCCCCCCCCCCCCAATCTGAACCCGAGTGGTGTTCTGTTGTTGGACTTCTGTGCTCGTCATGGATTGTCAATAACGAACACCATGTTCAAGCATAAGGGTGTCCATATGTACTCTTGGCACCAGGACACCCTAGGCTGCAGTTCGATGATCGACTTTGTCATCGTCTCATCTGATCTGCAGCCACATGCCTTGGACACTCGGGTGAAGAGAGGGGCAGAGCTGTCCACTGATCACTACCTGGTGGTGAGTTGGCTCCTATGGTGGGGGAAGATGCCGGTCAGACCTGGCAGACCCAAACATGTTGTGAGGGTTTGCTGGGAACGTCTGGCAGAGTCTCCTGTGAGATGGAGTTTTAACTCCCATCTCCGGGAGAACTTCGAACATGTTCCGGGGGAGGTGGGGGACCTTGAGTCCGAGTGGGCCATATTCCGTGCCTCTATTGTCGAGGTGGTTTACCGGAGCAGTGGCTGCAAGGTTGTCGGTGCCTGTTGCGGCGTCAACCCTCGAACCCGGTGGTGGACACCGTCGGTGAGGGATGCTGTCAGGCTGAAGAAGGAGTCCTATCGGGCCTTTTTGGTCTGTGGGACCCCTGAAGCAGCTGATGGGTACCGGCAGTCCAAGCGACATGTGGCTCGGGTGGACGCTGAGGCAAAAACTCGGGTATGGGAGGAGTTTGGAGAGGCCATGGAGAATGAATTACGCATGGCTTCAAGGCGATTCTGGTCCACCATCTGGCATCTCAGGGGGAGAAAGCAGTACGCCACCAACACTGTTTATAGTGGGAGTGGTGCACTGCTGACCTCAACTCGGGATGTCGTGGGTTGGTGGGCAGAATACTTTGAAGACCTCCTCAATCCCACTGGCACGTCTTCCACTGAGGAAGCAGAGCCTGGGGACTCTGGGTCGGGCCCTTCAATCTCTGGTGCTGAGGTCACCAAGGTGGTTAAAAAGCTCCTCGGCGGCAGGGCCCCAGGGGTGGATGAGATTCACCCAGAGTCCCTTAAGGCTCTGGATGTTGTAGGGTTGTGTTGGCTTACGCGACTCTGCAATATTGCGTGGACATCAGGGGAAGTTCCCCTGGATTGACAGACCGGGGTGGTGGTCCCCCTATTCAAAAAGGGGGGCCATAGAGTGTGTTCCAACTACAGGGGGATCACGCTCTTAAGCCTCCCTGGTAAGGTCTATTCGGGGGTTCTGGAGAGGAGGGTCTGTCGGATAGTCGAACCTTGGATTCAGGAGGAGCAGTGCGGTTTTTGTCCTGGTTGGGGAACACTGGACCAGCTGTACACTCTCAGCAGGGTCCTTAAGGGTGCGTGGGAGTTTGCCCAACCGGTCTACATGCGCTTTGTGGACTTGGAGAAGGCGTTCGACCGCATCCCTCGGGGAACCCTGTGGGGGGTACTCTGGGAGTATGAGGTATCGGGCCCTTTGATACGGGTTGTTAGGTCCCTGTACGACCGGTGTCAGAGCCTGGTCTGCATTGCCGGAAGTAAATCGGGCTTGTTCCCAGTGAGAGTTGGAGTCCGCCAAGGTTGCCCTTTGTCACCGATTCTGTTCATAACTTTCATGGACAGAATTTCTAGGCGAAGCCAACGTGTTGAGGGGATCCATTTTGGTGGCCTTAGGATTGCTTCTCTGCTTTTTGCAGATGACGTGGTCCTATTGGCTTCATCAGATCGTGATCTACAGCTTTCGCTGGAGCGGTTCGCAGCTGAGTGTGACACGGCCGGGATGAAGATCAGTTCCTCCAAATCCGAGGCTATGGTCTTGAGCCAGAAAAGGGTGGAGTGACCCTCTCTGGGTCAGCAAGGACGTTCTGCCCCAAGTGGAGGAGTTCAAGTATCTTGGGGTCTTGTTCACGAATGAGGGAAAAATGGAATGTGAGATCGATAGGTGGATAGGTGCAGCATCTGCAGTGAAGCGGGCACTGTACAGGTCTGTCGTGGTGAAGAGAGAGCTGAGTCAAAAGGTGAAGCTCTCAATTTACCGATCGATCTACGTTCCCACCCTCATCTATGGTCATGAGCTTTGTGTTGTGACCGAAAGAACGAGATCTCGGATACATGCAGCTGAAATAAGTTTTCCCCGCAGGGTGTCTGGTCTCTCCCTTAGAGTCAGAGTCAGAGTCAGAGTTTCTTTATTGTCATTCGCACCTCATGTGGTACATGTGGTGGAGCGAAATTATGTACGCAGGGTCCCAGTTACATCCAACAATAAAATGTATAAGAAAAACAGTAATGACATCTAAGATATGAACTAAGAAAAACATCAACTAAATATACACTAAGCACTCATAACATAAAACATTGAACATCAGCACAAACATGAACATGAGTCTGTGAGCAGATGTGCACGCATGAACACATCAACATTGAAACAGATCAGCAGCAACATGAAACAGATCAGCAGCAACATGATATGGTTTTTCACAGTGATTATTCTAGTTAGAGATTCATGAGTCTAACAGCCTCAGGGTAGAAGCTGTTCCTCAGACTAGTGGTTCTACACTTAATGCTCCTTAACCTCCTTCCTGAGGGGAGTGGGACAAAAAGTGTGTGTGCTGGGTGGGTGGGGTCCTTCATGATGCAGGTGGCCCTCTTCCTGCATCTGGAGGTGTAGATGTCTGTGATGGTGGGGAGACTGATTCCAACAGAAGATTAGAGATATGGTGAGAAGCTCAATCCTCCTGGAGAGACTCAGAGTAGAGCCCCTGTTTCTCGACGTCAAGAGGAGCCAGTTGAGGTGGCTTGGACATCTGTTTAGGATGCCTCCTGGACGCCTCCCTGGTGAGGTGTTCCGGACACGTCCCACCGGGAGGAGGCCCAGAGGAAGACCCAGGACACGCTGGAGGGACTATGTTTCTCGGCTGGCCTGGGAACGCCTCGGGATTCCCCCGGAGGAGCTGGACCAAGTGGCTGGGGAGAGGGAAGTCTGGGCCTCCCTACTTAGGCTGCTACCCCCGCGACCCAACCCCGGATAAGCTGAAGAAAATGGATGGATGGATGGATGGATGCTGTGGTAGTTTTTTTTTGATGCCTCAAATCGTGTTTAGGACATGGCGTGACCAATTTTTTTTTATAATTACAATTTTTTTTATACTGTCTCTCCTCGTGTTTTCTTTCCTTTTCTCATCTAAGCAAAATATTATTCTGAATAAGAAAAGGCAGCACTTTCTATAGTTACAGCTTTGTGCACTCCGCCCATCTTTCGGACGACTGTACGTACATGTTTGCATTGTATCTCGGTGCAATGCCAATAAAGTTTATTCTGATTCTGATAGCTCCCTTCTCCTGAACAATCTGAACATTTTGATTTATGATTTGTTGAAATAGCACAGAAATTGTGGATGGAGAAAGATGCTGAAAAACATACGGAAGATAAATGGATCACAATAGAATGAATACTTGATAAACATTCACACAATGACAGCTCACCTCTTCCTCTTGTTGTTCTTGAATCAAGCCTTAGTCCTGCAGATCTTCTCCCAAGTTGAAATTCTCCCAGCACTTCTTGACATTGCTTCTTGCTGCCCAGTGAGTGAACACCTGAACTCCTCTGATCATCAAATCATCTCCACCTGGAGCAGTCTGCTGCCTTCTGGGGAGACACCACACCTACATTTAGCCAGAGGGGGGCGGGGCCTAGAGCTCAGCTCAACAGCTTTATATATACTGAGATCAGATTCAATTCAATTCAATTCAAAAATACTTTATTAATCTCAGAGGAAAATTAAATGTTGTTGTAGCTCATTTTCCTTGTTTCATAAAAGAGTTGTTCTAGATGTTGATGGTTGTGGGCGGGAAGGATCTCTTGTGATGGTCCGTCTTATAGCAGATCTGAAAAAACTGGCCACAGATGTTGATCCGTTTACTTGCACTTGGTTGGCCTCCTGGGCTTCAGGATCACCTGAATGTTGGGCAGAAGTCCTTCCAGGGCAATGGCCACTCCTCCCAGCAGCTTGTTGAGCTCCTCATCGCTGCGGACAGCCAACTGTAGGTGCTGATGGACGATCCTGTCCTTCCGCTGTCATGAGCCGTGTTTCCTGCTAGTTCCAGGATCTCAGTGGTCAGGCACTCGAGCACAGCTGGCAGGTAGATGAGAATGCTTCCACAGAACATTCTTTTCAACTCATTTGAAATTTAGGGCTGTAGTTGAGATATTACTTGAGCTTTTGAGATGTTAATCAGCTGCTGTTGGTTGTAGAAATTGCCTTGTTGCCATGGTTACGCATCATAACAAATGTCCCAAACTAAAAAAGTTTCAGTAAAAATCCTTCCAGCTGCACAGCATCCGATACCAGAGGAAACAATCATCCAAAAAATGTGATTTACATCCAGAAAAAGAAGAATTAAATTTTCCAAAAGCAAAATCTCAGAATGAAAGTAACAGAGCTGCTCCAACATGCAGCCACCTTGAGCGGCGCAATTCTAGAACCAGATTTGGTGTGTTGGTAGTTAAGGTCCATCACAACAAACACTTTGAGCTCTCCACATTGTACAACATATTTACTTAATGCTTTGCTGTAAACTACTGGTGTCAACCTGTCTGTTAGCAACACGCCGTCGGCTGGATTTTAGTGAAGCGCTCAGAAAGTGATCACTGGTTCCACAACCAACATTTGGAGTCAAACCAATCCAAGATGGCTGCCACAGCCAATTGGTTTTACCAAGCATACAAAAATGGCAATAAATTAAAATCAGTCATTCAAAAGATATTTATCTAATGTTCGGTGGAATCAGCCGAGAGTCATTCACAACACACACTCTGGCAGAATTTCACAGAATATTGCACGAGATTGCACAAAGCATATTTTCTTAAAGTGTGACCAAAATGTCCACAACATCGTCATTTCTTATCAAAACATCTTTTAATCTTGTGTATGGAAGAAGGCCATGAAATTTACTCCTTCAAGGACCGCCTGGCCTTTAATTGTAAAACCATGTTTATTTTTAAATATTACACTTCTCCAGGCAACCCAGACCAGTTTGATATTAAGGTACATTCCAACGTTCTGGTTTCATTTTTAAGTTTTTGTTTCGTCATTCATTCACGGAGAGATTTGTAAATTGTTGCTTAATTCTTTGGACAAAATGCAAAGCTCCGAGTGTCAGCGTCTGAATCAAACAAAAATCAGACAGTTCCTGTATTTCACCTAAGCAGCTGCACGAGATGTAAATCTTCAGGTCAATTAAATTAACCTTTGCTACAGGAACAGTTAACTTGTCTCAGCAGGAAAACGCCCGCAGGAGAAACTGTTGTTAGCGATGGCCCAGTTCCAGCTCGTCTGGCTGACAAATGACAGAAAGCAGATTTCCAGGGTTTCAAATCATAGCTCCAGTTTGTTCAAAAGACCAGTCCTTTTTTTATCCTTGAAATATAAAATCTGAATAGAAAACTGCACATTTCATTAGTTTGATTCAAATTCAAAGATTTTATAAACATTTCAGACACTTATATCAGCTGAAAACAGCCTACATATTTAAAATAATTGTGAATAAAGCATTGGACTGAACAGACGAACACTAGATCAACATGATTTTTATATGTTGCAACAACAGGGACATTTTATCTGCTGCTGGAGTTGGCTGCTGTGCTTCTCTGTATCACTGACGAAATGTTCCTCCTCATCCTCTCCGTCTTCCTCCAGCCAGAGCCATGACGTTTGAAGGGTTCCTCAGATACATGGAGTCCAAAGACTGCTGCGTGTTCAACCAGCACCACACGTCTGTGTACCAGGACATGGACCAGCCTCTCTCCAGCTACTTCATCTCCTCGTCTCACAACACCTACCTGACTGGAGATCAGCTGACAGGGAAGAGCCACCTCGATGCCTACATTTGGTAAGAGTAGTGCAGTTTGGAGGGTTTTCCAGGGCAAATGTGACAGTTTTGCTTTGTAGCTGTGGTCAGCAGCACGGCTGAGCTGTAATTTAAGAGCTCCCAGTTCCTAAAAATCCTGACAGGTTAGAAACACGGCGAGCGAATAAGCTGAAATCTACTGTAAGACTAGCCCCCTCCAGACCTACATGCTGGTGATTTGGAAACTGAATCCCGTCCTTCTCATTTCACTGACCCACTCGTGTGCTGAGGCAGACAGCAAATCTGCTGCGGTGCCTTTGTGGGACAAAGGAAGTGATTAGAAAAGGAGCTGATGGCAGCAGAAGTCTAGTATTTATGGATCTACTGAACGTGCTGAAAACTCTGGTGAACTGGTGGAGAGGAGCGCTCCAGTCCGCCTGCCTGGACGTTGGCTCTGGTCTGAGAACGGCAACAAAACAAGAGCAGGCTCACTGGAAGCTCGACTAAAACAAAACGCGTTCATTTCTAAAAGACGAATTAGGTTTTATAAAAGTCTTTAAGTTAGAGGTTTATCATGCAGAGGTTTACTAACTGTTTTATTATCCATTGATTTTACTGTACATAAAAATTCTACCCTGACTGTTTTAAAATAATTTTGCTGTTAAATTTTAAGCAGATTTTTCTTTAAAATATTTTTAAGTCAAACTTTAAATAATGCAATGATGCCAATCAATTATATACAGTGAGGAAAATAAGTATTTGAACACCCTGCGACTTTGCACGTTCTCCCACTTAGAAATCATGGAGGGGTCTGAATTTTTTATCTTAGGTGCATGTCCACTGTGAGAGACATAATCTAAAAAATAAAAATCCGGAAATCACAATGTATGATTTTTAAAAATAATTTATTTGTCTGTTACTGCTACAAATAAGTATTTGAACACCTGCCAATCAGCAACAGTTCTGGCCCTCAAAGACCTGTTAGTCCTCCTCTATAACGTCCACCTCCACTCCACTTATTATTCTAAATTAGAAGCACCTGTTTGAGGTTGGTAGCTGCATAAAGACACCGGTCCACCCCACTCAATCAGTAAGACTCCAACTACTAACATGGCTAAGACCAAAGAGCTGTCCAAAGACACCAGAGACAAAATTGTAGACCTCCACAAGGCTGGAAAGACTACGGGGCAATTGCCAAGCAGCTTGGTGAAAAAACATCAACTGTTGGAGCAATTATTAGAAAATGGAAGAAGCTAAACATGACTGTTTATCTCCCTCGGACTGGGGCTCCATGCAAGATCTCACCTCATGGCATATCAATGATCCTAAGAAAGATGAGGAATCAGCCCAGAACTACACGGGGGAACTGGTCAATGACCTGAAGAGAGCTGGCACCACTGTTTCCATGGTTACTGTGGGTAATACACTAAGACGTCATGGTTTAAAATCATGCATGGCACGAAGGTTCCCCTGATTAAATCAGCACACGTCCAGGCACGTCTTAAGTTTGCCCATGAACATTTGGATGAGCCACAGGAGTCATGGGAGAAAGTTATGTGGTCAGATGAGACCAAAATAGAACTTTTTGGTCTTAATTCCACTCACCTCAGTGAGAGCATTGAAGATGGGTCGAGGCTGGGTCTTCCAACAGGACAATGACCTGAAGCTCACAGCCAGGAGAACCAAGGAGTGGCTCCGTAAGAAGCATATCAAGGTTCTGGAGTGGCCTAGCCAGTCTCCAGACCTAAACCCTCTAGAAAATCTTTGGAGGGAGCTCAAACTCTGTGTTTCTCAGCGACAGCCCAGAAACCTGGCTGATCTAGAGAAGATCTGTGTGAAGGAATGAACTAAAATCTCTGCTGCAGTAAACCTGGTGAAACACTACGGGAAACATTTGACCTCTGTCACTGCAAACGAAGACTACTGTACCAAATATTAACATTGATTTTCACAGGTGTTCAAATACTTATTTGCAGCAGTAACACACAAATAAATTATAAAAAAAATCAAACATTGTGATTTCTGGATTTTTTTTACTTTTTAGATTATGTCTCTCACAGTGGACATGCACCTAACATGAAAAATTCAGACCCCTCCATGATTTCTAAGTGGGAGAACTTGCAAAGTCGCAGGTTCTTCAAATTATTTTCTTCACGATATGTATATATATATATATATATATATATATATATATATATATATATACACATTGTAAGACAACAAGGCTATAACAGGAGGAATGTTTTTCTGGTGACCTGCATGCCAATGTGCTGTAGGTGTGCACCTGACGATTACTTTGTGAGAGTTTAATTCAAATGTGTCAACTTTTCAATAAAATGTGTTGCTTAAAGAAAAACAAACATACACAAATGCACACATGGACCTTAAGCCAATTATATGATTGGCTGCAGAAAGACGGGCAGTTATGAGATTATAAGGTGCGAAGTGAGTTTGCAGCTCTCACACTATACTTCTTTAAAAACTATATTTAAAAAGCATTTAGTAATTTGATGAATACATTCTTACTCTGTGTTTTAGAGGATGTTTTCAATACAACATAACATCATTTTTGTCTTCATTAAAGGCATTAATAAATAGAATATAAAGAAAATAAGCCCCATGAAGGAGGGCTGTCACCTTCATGATTGAAACACGTGGTTTATATTTCCAATCTGGACTTCATATGTATTTAAATTAATTCTGATTAATAAGTAGTGATTTGAAATATGCTGCTACTAAGAATTAGATTAAATTGCATAATCTCCTTTCCTTCTACAAAGGATAGAAGTAATAAAGGAAGCACTGAAGCAATTTGCTCCAGCATTTTAGGGAACTCAAGCTCCTCAGATGAAGGCTGATATCCAGACACTTCTAGTCCATTTCACTTTGTAGGAACCTTTCCCAGAAAACAACTGTTCCACCCAACGAAAGACTAAAAGCCGTGCAGCACAGAACCAGGGCGGCTAACACAGAAACAACAGAAAATCCCACGCACGCATGCAAAACAGGTTCAACTAGCACAAAATACCCAAATACAATAGAGAGGAAAAACAGGCAGAAGAACAATGGAAGTAAGAAGGTGGGATTATTTACACAAACAGGGGCTGATGAAACACAGGAGGAAACAGTGAAGGCAGTGAAAGGGCAGAGGTCAAACCAGATGCAGAGATCTCCAACATAAAACAGGAAGTAGGACGATAAATGAAGCTTTCATTAATGTACTCAAGGGATAGTTCTGTACAGTGCAAAAGTAATGAACAATTAATATCTTATCTGCTGTACATAACTCTCTAAACAACCTCACTTTGAACAAATAGGGTTTAATTCTGAACTAATTCAACATAATCTGAGTTAATCTGAGTGAGGTCAAGACCAAAATGAATTGTTGCCATTTTAAAATTAGTTCAATCTCTAAAAAAGTGCAATTAATGGCAGATAATTTCATCTTTAAATTTACAAGTTACTGCTTTATTTGTTTAATTAGATGTTTGTTTCAGTGTTTTATTTTTTATTTTTATTTAAATCAGTGACTGTAAATAGGCTCAACTGGACATCCAGTCATGTGTCATGTCATTAAAGTTCATACAATTTATAGAAAATAAGAAAGTGAATATTTTTTTCTATAAAATGTATGACGAAAAGTTTTCACCAGATTTGCTAAAATGATTGAAGTTGATAAGTGAGAGACATCTTTATTGTTCAACTTGAGACGGAAGCTGCTTTGAATAAAACACAGAAACGCATTAATATTCCATGGTGGTGTTATAAATAACAAAACATATGGTGGCAGTGCACGTAGGACAGAGCTCACCACTCCTCTTCTAGCAGACTTGCACAGCTCATCGTGTGCACGTGTCTCTGTTTGTGTGCATGTGTGTGTGAGCCAGCGCTCTGAGCAAAGGCTGCCGCTGTCTGGAGATCGACTGCTGGGATGGTCCAGGCATGGAGCCGGTAGTTTACCATGGCTACACCCTCACCACCAAGATCCTTTTTAAGGATGTCGTCGCCACCGTGGCTCAACACGCCTTCCAGGTTTGTCATGTATTTTATCTCACAAGCAGCGCCTCCTGTGTCTAACACACGCCTGCATCTGTTAGGACCTCTGGAGGAGATGCAATTAGTAACCTCTGATGTCTCCTGCTAAATGTTCGCAGACCTTTTCCTGAGCGGTTTGTGAAGTTTTAAACCTTCACAGAGAGATTTACATCCTGGTTGATGGTAATTGTTGCATTTTTCCCTGATGGGATTATGTCCTTACAGGTGTCTGCTTATCCACTGCTCCTGTCTTTGGAGAACCACTGCAGCAAGGAGCAGCAGGAGGTCATGGCCCGGCACCTTGTCTCCATATTGGGGGACAAGCTGTTGACATCTCCCTTAGACCATGTCACCAGCGGAGACCTGCCAAGCCCAAACGTAAGACTCAGAAGACATGAGAGGGTGGACATGAGAATTTGAAAATGAGCAGAAGAATTTAAATATGAAGGTAGCATAAATAAATGTTAGTAGAGCCAAACAGGAAATAAAAAACGAGATGTTTTAGTCGTCACCGAGGGCCTCGTTAGTCGTCCTGAGGCTTCTCGTTCTTCCCGCCCTCACCAGCACCCAGAGATGAATGGATGTTTAAAAGCCTTTTTTAAAAACAGATCTGATGCGATGATAATTATGAGACATGTCCGTCACTTTCACCACGATGAGCCGCACAAGCCGATCATTTAGAAACCTTGTTTCTGGAACAAGCTCATGGTTAGGCCAATGTGACGAGGAGGAAACGAGTGTGTGCTGAATCTCTTTTCCACATTTGAATTCAGCAGCTTTTAAATTTTTCAGAGAATAAAACACGGTCTCTTCACAGGGCATATAATCCATGACTGTTTTTCATCTCGTGTTGAGAAAAGAAGAGACTTCCATGGTAGATCCAGCCTTAAACATTCACTTTTACCACAAACTCCTGCTGTGTGCAAGCAAATTCCAACTTTAGAGTTTGAATTAATAATGTTTTAAAACAATTTATTAAACTAGATTGATGTTCAGACATACTTATTAATGTACACATTTTTTTAAACTGTCATCCAGATCAACAATCTGAGCTAAATCATTTTGTTTTTTTGCTCAGATTGAAGCAAAACATTGTTAAAAACTTGTGAAATATAAAAAATTGCTCTTCTGTCAAAAACTGCTGCGTGATTATGTGTACCAGCCACACAAACTGCAAATGTGTTGACCTTTTTATACTTTTTGGCCTCGAGCGAGCTGCTTGTCACGTGTTATCTGACTGTTATGACTATATGCTGGTCCTGTTGTGCATTTCACCATAAAACTGCCTCCAGTTTTCCTTATTTTCAAAAAAATGATAGTTCAGATTTTTTAAAGTGGGGTTTTGTGGAGAGAGTGTAAACAGTTAATATCTTTGTTGTGCATTGATTTTTGAAAGACCTGAACTGGTAAAAAAAAAAAAGAGGGTGATTCTGACGGCATCAGTGACAGGTAGTCTGAGGGGGGGCAGTATGGATCCCTGCCACTTTAAAACAATTTCTAGAAGTTTTCCAAAACACGTTTTCCATCTGCTTTTAAATTGCTGTCAGAAATGTTTATTTTTTCAAAAAAAAATTTTCAAACAAATAATTTTTAAATGTGAGTGGGAAACGTCCCCTTCACAAATATTGTGATGCCTGTGCTGCGCAGAAAATTGGAAATGAACATTAAGTCCTGCAGTGTGAATGTAGTCTAAGAGTGAGTGAAGATTTCAAGCGCAGCATATTTCTTCAAACTGAAAGTTACCTACAACAGGTAAGATATTCGTTGTTAATAACCTTTCCACAAAATCCCACTTCAAATGAGTTGAACCACAGCTCTAAGCACATCTGCTTATTTACAAAGATAATCCAGCAGTACACAGCAAGTTCACTCAGTGAACTGTTCTCAGCAGCAATGACTGGATGATTTGATGCACATGCTGTTCTCCTTTATTTTCTTTTTCTGACTGCTACATGCATCCACATATGCAAATATTACTTTGTACATTTTTTTAAAAGGCACCTTTTTACAAATCAATGCTGGAATGACTTGTGTGAAAGCAGTGCTGAGTTTTAGCATGTGACATATTTTTACTGAGGGTTTTAAAAGTGCAACATAAATGAAATGACGAGGCTGCTTGAGCACATCTGAACATGTGGAATCATACTGTTTGTGTGGAAACGCCAGGACCTGAAGCATAAGATCCTTATCAAGAACAAAAAGCTAAAGCCTCAGATTAAGACAGAGGATGCAGCAGAGGCCGAGGAGAGTGCAGATGAGTGTGAGGATGAGGAGGAAGAGGAAGATGAGGAGGAGAATCATCAGACCAAAGCTAGGTTCTGGTCTTCCAGAAAGGCAGGGTTAAACAAGAAAGTAAGTCAGGTGTTTTCAGTCAAATCGATACAAACATATTATTAAAACAGGCTTAAATGCAGTTTTAAATGAAGACAGAATGATTAAAATGTCTGATTTTCTTTTAATCTCTACTGTTTTCGGTGTCTTCTCTGACCCAACATTATGAGTAGAAGAGAGTGGTGGCTGAGGCTTTATCCAACCTGGTAATATACACGGAGTCTGTCAAGTTCATCAGCTTCAGTCACTCCAAGGACAATCAAAACTGCTACGAGAACACATCCATCGCAGAGAAGAAGGCTCGCAAGCTGGTGAAAACCTCAGGTACAGAGCTAATACATCACAGAGGAGACGATTTATCGTCTTGTAATGCTGAATGTCCAACGTCTCACTGATGAGCCCAATATTACACTTAGCGCTGTAAACTTTCTAAAACGGATATGGAGTAAGATGTGTGGAACATGGGGCGGTCATTTGTCAGGGAGACGACAGCCCAGGCTCGGAATGTGCTTTGCTGCTGAGAGTGAAAAGAGCTCACACAGGTTCACATGAAGGAGCAACACCAGAGAACCAGTCAAGAAATGTTCTCCTGCTGAGAAAGACTGACATGTTTCAGGCAAGCAGTTAAATATCTGAGCAGGTTGACGGTTGAAACCAGGAAAAATGAAATTATATTAGAGCAACAGAAATCTTGTAATTCAATCACGCCCTGTGTAACCTCTATAATCGTGATCGTTCAGAATAATTCCGGTCTGCG